CTGTCACTTATTTATTTTTTTTTATATTACATAAACATGCAAATATTATTTTTGTCATTTTAGTTGCTTGTGGAATATACATATTTAATTACCATGAACAAAAGATGAAAAAAAATAAAAATCTGGCCACGGATACTAGTATGATTACTGCTTCAAAGGGTCTCCTCTCCCAAAGCACTAATGCTTACATCCATTACTCTTTTTGTAGTTTAATAGTTTAAATCATGTTAATATTCACCCTTAATTAGCAATACATGACATGTAAATATTATTTATACATATAAAATAAGCTATTTTTATTTTTTTGCTCAGTATTGACACTCGTAAAAATGATATACTGTGTATATATATATATATATATATATATATATATATATATATATGAGCCATGAGGCTATTAATATCAAATACATATTTTAGATTAGTGTGATTCATAGCCGTCAACAAAGGTGAGTACTTTCAAATATCAGGACTGCTAGCCCCAGCTCAAGGAATAAAAAAATTGAACTAGAGGGCATTTTTAATATTTAAAGCAAACTCTGTACTCCTGCGCTGAGGATGGATTCCGCAAAGGCTATGGTAACAATTCAGATGTCCTGGAATATGCATTCCTTGCTGCCCCCAATAGACCGGGGTAGTCCAAAGTCACTGGATACAAATAAAACAAACAGAGGGCGCACCGGCCTAGTGCATTATCATAAAAAATATTTGTTAAAAGGATAAGTAATCACAATTGACATACAGGGCAAAGGCACATCACACTAAACAGCGATGTCCAATCCACACTGCATATAAGTTCATAAATGGAACTCCGGATTTCCAACTGGCTAAAGCGCTTCGAGGACTCAGCCTGAGGGCTCTGAGGAAGAAGCTGAGTCCGCAACTGCCAAACCCAAACACATACATCGGATTGCAAGACAGAGAACACATTTCCACTGCTTTAGAGTCAAGTGGCGGCATGCTTTACACCACTGCATCCAATGCTTTGCATTGCACTTGGTGATGTAAGGCTTGGATGCAGCTGCTTGGCCATGGAAATCCATTCCATGAAACTCTCTATGCACTGTTTTGCTAATCTGAAGGCCACACGAAGTTTGGAGGTTTTTAGCTATTGACTCTGCAGACAGTTGGAGACTTGTGTGCACTTCATAATGCACTGACCCCACTCTGTCATTTTACGTGGCCTACCACTTCATGGCTGAGTTGCTGTTGTTCCCAGTTGCTTCCACTTTGTTATAATACCACTAACAGTTGACCGTGGAATATTTAGTAACAAGGAAATTTCACGGATGGACTTATTGCACAGGTGGCAACCTATCACGGTATCACACTTGACTTCACTGAGCTCCTGAGTGTGACCCATTCTTTCACAAATGTTTGTAGAAGTAGTCTGCATGCCTAGGTGCTTGATTTTATACACCTGTGGCCATGGAGGGGATTGGAATACCTGAATCCACTGATTTGGAGGGGTGTCCCAATAGTTTTGGCAATATAGAGTGAGTGTGTGTGTGTATAATATATATACATACATACATATACACTGCTCAAAAAAATTAAACGAACACTTCTTAATCAGAGTATAGCATCAAGTCAATTTAAACTGCTGGGATATTGATCTGGTGAGTTAAGTAGCAGAGGGGGTTGTTAATCAGTTTCAGCTGCTTTGGTGTTAATGAAATTAACAACAGGTACACTAGATGGGAAACAATGAGAAGATCTCCAAAACAGGAATGGTTTTACAGATGGATGCCACTGACATTTTTTCCCCTACTCATCTTTTCTGACTGTTTTTCACTAGTTTTGCATTTGGCTAGGGTCAGTGTCACTACTGGTAACATGAGGCAATACCTGGACCCTACAGAGGTTGCACAGGCAGTCCAACTCCTCCAGGATGACATGTCAATACATTGCCAGAAGGTTTGCTGTGTCTCTCAACACAGTCTCAGGAGCATGGAGGAGATTGTAGAAGACAGTTACTCTAGGACAGCTGGAAAGGGCTGTAGAAGGTCCTTAACCCATGAGCAGGACCGGTATCTGCTCCTTTGTGCAAGGAGGAATAGGATGAGCACTGCTAGAGCCCTACAAAATTACCTCCAGCAGGCCACTGGTGTGAATGTCACATCAGACTGTCCAAGAGCTCAGTGATACCCTGATCCAGATCTAGGAGGAAATATCCCAGGACACCATCCATAGTCTCTTTAGGAGCATGCCTCGACATTGTCAGGCATGCATACAAGCACATGGGGGCCATACAAACTACTGAGTACCATTTTGAGTTGCTGCAATGAAAGTTCAGCAAAATGGATTAGCCTGCTGCATCATCTTTTCACTTTGATTTTCAGGGTGTCTTTGAATTCAGTCCTCTGCAGGTTGATCATCTTCATTTCCATCAAACAATGAGGCATCCTTACATTCCTAACACGAGGAAAACAACTGCTAGATACCTAGACAGTACAATGGCGGACTTTATAGGCACTACATGAGACCACACTTCATTTCATTAAAAAGTACATATTTTATTTTACATAAGTATAAAAGTTTGAAATATATTGAAACAGTTCATACATTTTAAAAAAAGGGGACTAGGGAAAGAATCCCCCAAAATACACAATCTGCTCTTATCAATTGTATAGCTGTATAGGCTGTATTTGTAGCTTGTCCAGCTTCAACGGTAAACACTTTTTACATATAGCTTCTTCAGGACCATATATTAGAGGAGGTAGAACACTAACAGTATAGAAAAAAATGATATACATTAGTACATATATTACCCAAAAAAAGGGGGGGCGTACGATTGAATCCTCAATAAACAAAAATAGTATAAATACATAGGCTTTCATTAATAGGGAGTACTGCAGAAGGTCCAAGATGCGAGGTCTGACAGGCGAACATAGGGGACCCAAAAAGGACTATTCTCTGAGGGGCACATTTTCAATAATATACTGACACACATACTGTGGATACCTATAGTGTATATAAAAAGGCTACACACCCCTGTTAAAATGTCAGGTTTCAGTGATGTAAAAAAATGAGACAAAGATAAATCATTTTAGAACGTTTTCCACATTCAATGTAACCTCTAAACTCAGCTGAACAACAAAATGAAATCTCTTAAGAGGGACGTAAACATAAAAAAACTAAAATAAAGTGGTTGCATAAGTGTGCACACCCTATTATAACTAGGGATGTAGCTGTGTTCAGAATTAAACAATTACATTCAAAATCATGTGAAATAGGAGTCAGTACACACTTGCCATCATTTTAAAGCACCTCTGATTAACTCAAAATAAAGTTCAGCTGTTCTAGTAGGTCTTTCCTGACATTTTCTTAGTTGCATCCGACAGCAAAAGCCATGGTCCGCAGAGAGCTTCCAAAGCATCAGAGGATCTCATTGTTGAAAGGTATCAGTCAGCAGAAGGGTACAAAAGAATTTTCAAGGCATTAGACATACCATGGAACACAGTGAAGAAAGTCATCATCAAGTGGAGAAAATATGGCATCCCTATGCTGTCCCTCCTCCTCTGGAACTTTTCCCTTACGCTAGGCACACTATCTACATGATGTCTTTGACCTAACCACAAGCAAAATGTGCACCAACTGCAGTGAACTAGTGCTTTTTATAAGAACCATCCTCATCAAAGATGGCCATGGAGGTCATCCAGTTAAGCAGCATCCAGTTGGACAGCTGCTCACCTTATGACACGAGTTCCTTCTGTCCTTTACTTTTCCTGCATGGTGGTTACGGACAGTGCCACCTGTGTAAATAGGTCAATCTGCACCTGCCTACACTCTCAACTTTCATTGTCTTCATCCTTTTTCAGACTTTTCCTGATTATTCCATTGTTGTACTTCCAATATCCTGTACTCCGACTGGAATACAATTTAACAAAAGTGAATGGAAACAAATAGCAACTTTATTGAAGGTAAGAGGTCATTTTGTAAACTCTTTGCTTCTAATACAGCCAACAAACAATTCTATTATATTTTATCTATTTTTCTGGTGTTATTTGCTGGTTCAAAGGGACCCTCCCAGATTTAAGAAAATCAGAACAAAGCTGTCCTTGTGCAAGAAGATTGTAACTTCTTACCTCTCCTGCCACCTACCCTGCTGAATACAGCTTTGATCAAAATAAAACTTGCTCTGAGGCCTTTATAGAAAGAAAACTTCCAGGAATGTTGTTGTTGTCCCATGTCCCCTGCAGTTTTCTGCCCACCTCCACTCTATTACTGTGTATTACAGCATTGTGAAGGTCAGTGTTGCGTGGGGCAGAGGAGATGGCCACTCCTAGAAGTGTTGGCTTCTCTGCAAACTTTACAGGAACATCTGAGTGGGGTTTGCCAGTAAAAGTAATGGACGAGGTATTTGCAACATTGCCACACACCTTACTGAGTTGGAGCCAGAGCTGTCCAATCAGCAGGAAACTTGAGCTTTGCTGATTGCAGAGTTATAGGTCTCACTCAGCAGGGGGTGTGTTGGGCTTCTGCAGAAAGACTACTGCTTCCAAACAGCAGCATGTTGGCAGGGAAAAGGCTTCTCTACTCAAACTGTAGGTACTTTCCAAAGGAAACAAGCTGTAAGACTTTGCAAACGTTGAGGATGATTTATTAAAGACATGTAGGCTGTTCACTTTGCAATGAGGTGAAGCTTTGTTGACTCCCATCATCCAATCATGTGTAGGCATAAATAATGTGTTTGCTGTTTTTTATTTTTCATTGCATGTGATTGGTTATTAGTAAATCAACACCATTTTTGTTGTAATGCATCTGGAATGTATTAGCTGACAAGCTGAAAAATTAAGTTGGGTTTTTATTGCAATGTCTTCAGCTTATGTTTTCTCATGTTGTATATTTATTTTTATTTATTTTAGAAAAAGAACATGTTTCCATTTTTCAACCTAAAAGATCAAGGACTGTCCTCTGGAGATGTAGACACCGATGCGTGGCCTCTGCGACACTTTGTTTCAGAAGATTTTGAGCTGCTTTGTGCTCAGTCATTTTCAGCCAGTTTTGGAATATATGGTGTGTCAACAGGAGATATTAAAATAGAATCTGCTTCTGAACTCATTACTTTTTGCATACCTAAAATCATTCTATGTACCTGTGATTGCTTTAGGTCATTGTAAGGAAACTGATACTGTCCTAAAATTAACAGTTTAAGCAGCTGTGACTGGAGAGGGAACAGTACACTTGAAATCAACATTTACCAATTCTTGTCCTAGATCTACTGTAAATGTTACATTTATATGTACCAGTTACTGATTCTTGCCTCGCCTGCAGGTGAAAGTGTTGGGTGCCTCCTAGTGGTTATGAGAAATAATGGCGCTTTGATCAGTGTTTGCTCCCAGCTGGAATGTCTTGTGCTTAGAAAATGGTCAAAACCAACAGCTACTGGAGCACGAGTGGTAGCAACAGTTCTTAATAATCCAACTCTTCATGAAGAATGGTGAGTTTGTATGTTGTCTTAGAGCAGGAGTACCCAAACTTTCAAAGCAATACGTGATTGTACTGGCCTTCAAACTTTAGGGGGGCCAGACTGTGGCCAAGTACAAAATGCCATGGCATTGGTGGAAGTAAACAATGCCAAAGGCTTGGTGGTCAGTAGGGGTAAAAAAAAAAATTACTTCGTTGGTGTCAGTGGGAGGAATAGTGCCCCAGGGGGTGGATAAAGGAAAGCAAAGAGCCACCTCTGGCCTGTAAGCTGCAGTTTGGAGACCCCTGCCTTAGAGCATGAGACAAGACTCTCACTTTGCCCCAGCCCTTAGAAGCTTTCACCTTCTACTCTTGTGAAGACTGGGGGCATAGGGCAGTTATGCAGAACTAGTAAGGGAAAGATGCCGTTTCATTTACAAAAGTAGTGGTTGTATTCTAGGGGTGGGGATTTTCACTAGTGGTGACAGCTAAAGCTTAGTGTGAGAAATGTGGGTCTGTGCACCAGTTGTAAATTAAACGAATATAACAGTCCTTCATACTAATGGCTGTGAATAAGGTAATACAATAAAAAAATGGGATCAAGTCCACATAAACAGTTCAATTCTGTAAGAACCTATTGTGTGAAAGCAGACTCCTCTGCCAATCCCCTTTTGGTCATAGGCTCACATTATGGATTGACCATCATTGCAAAGGTCTTATTGCGCCTTTAATCATATCAATTAATATCCATGAACCCAGTTGGACTCTCCCAGGGCTTAAACAATCTACCCCAGAATACTCTGTAAATCAGCACTCCTCTCAGCTCAGATGATAAAGCATGGATCAGTGTTCAAAAACATATAAAAGCTGACATAGTGCCCACTGAGATTTTATTAATAAAAGAAAGAAGAAAATACATTCACTTAATTACTGAATAAAATTGTCCAAATCACTTTTGTTTTTACATTCCAATGCTGCTTGGGTAGATGGCTCTAATATACAAATACCTCCGGCCATATGGAAAAACTCTCTCTACCAGGCCACGCCATACGTATTTTATTGATCTGACATCATCAGGGACACCAGATGGACTCCTTAGGATTTTTCATTAGGTGCTCTCTTTGACTTATTACACTGTTCAACAGGTAAAAAGTTTTGGGCATAAAATTAGCTAATCTTACATAATTTTGGGGTGCTGAAAACGAAAATGACCCTAAAAAATGTTGATTGGCTCTAGTTTCCATGATATATTCACCCATCTAATGACGTAAGCCATTCAAAATTATGATGCAACTTCAGCTGCATATTGCGCAATTGATACTGGTGACCAATAGAAAATTGCATGTATACTGAGATGATGCAATATTAGCCTTTAATTGCATCACTTCACTGCATAAAAGCTGCAGTATCTGTAGCTGATTGTAGTTCGACAGCGTCTTTACATTTCGTTTTATGCTTATATAGGCTACTCAGTAATGCCTCGAACTTGTGTGAATAAAGCAGATAATTTCTGCTATATCTGCGGTGAAATAACTTTTATCTCACAAAAAAGGAGGATAACAGGAATGATTAAGAAAGCCTACAACTTGTATTTTGGCTGCAAGATAGGAGACCAGGACAAGAGCTGGGCACCACATATATGCTGCAATTCTTGTGGGACGGCACTGGAGCAATGGTTGAATGGAAAAAAGGCATCTATGCCTTTCGCTGTGCCAATGATTTGGAGAGAGCCAACAGATCATGTTAGTAATTGTTACTTTTGTATGGTGCCTCCAATTGTAAAAGGGCTAAATAAGAAGAAAAAGTTATCTGTGCACTATCCAAATATTCCATCGGCAATACGTCCAGTTCCTCTCATGGAGAGGGGCTACCAATTCCTAAAGCACCAGAATCCTTCGTGGTTGAGTCAAGTGAGGAAGAACCTGAAGCGTGTAGTCACGTGCAGTTGTAAGAGATAGCCCTTTCCTCGAATACAAGAGAAAAGCCAAGAGAAGCAAAACCGACACAAACTGAAGACAAAACTAGTGAGAATCCTAAGTATTAAAATGATTCAACTTAGCTTATGGCTATAATTTTTCTTGGTAATCCTATGCAATATATTATGCCATTTAGGCTTTGTTATGTAGTCAATATCACTTGCTTTATATTTGTGGAAAGACATCTATCTATATAATTATTGTGCATTATGTAGTCATTACGCCTATAGTAGAAAACTTTCCGTTTACAGAAAAACTAGAGCCAATTGACAAATTTCATTGTTATATTTGAACTCAGAATGTGAAATTCATTAAGAAATGGATCCTTTTGTTTCCAAAACTGGCAAAAAATAAAAATTTGTTGAACAGTGTTACACTTGAATAACAGAAATTCTGACACTTACCCTGACATTAATGTAGATCAGGCCCTGATCTTCCTACTTTTATTCATTATAATTTTTTTTACACACACTTTTCTTTTTTTTGGAAGATTGCTAATTTTTGTTCTCAAAGTATTTTTTCATGGTATGGTTGTTTAAGTTACTTTTTTTTTTTTTTATTGGGTAATAAGGGATACTATTATGAAAGGAGGTTTTGAATTGAATGGAGAAGCTAACCTGGTTGGGCTACAGTTTGCAATAATAAATGGCTGTCTGATAAAACTTAATTCAGTTATAAAACTAAAATATATCCCCTACAATCGTGCTATCCAAGAAATCAACAATTTTTATTAACCCTTATAATGTGAAAAGCAGCAGTGATTAAAAATGTTGCTATATGTGTCGGTACTATTTACCCTTATCTTTTTTTTCTTCATTTTGAGGAAGGAAAACCTAAAAATGGCAGCAAAACGTCTTATCGTTATCAGAGAAAAAATGAGGGAGAAGCTTAGACTTCTGGAGACTTTGAGATCTTGGAATCAAATCACCCAGCAATCTGGCCTATTCACCTACTTTGGATTAACCAGTAAGTGATAATATGAAGTATGGACTTCTGTTTCTGGGTTCTAAACTGAAACTGGGATTTTAATTGACTTTCATTTTTCCCCTGACAGAGGACCAAGTGGATTTTCTGGCAAAGAGAAACCATATTTATTTACCTGAAAATGGACAAATAAACATCTCGGGACTTAATGTGAACAACATACATTACGTCACACAGTGTATAAGTGATGTGACTCTGAATGACACAAGATGATGGTTTTTAATAGCATTTTTTAGTAGGGTTATCATTTGAGGCAAGACAATTTTTATAGCTTTTCCATTATATTGAATGGATTTAATTTATGTTAATTATTGAAATAAAAATAGTCTTTTGTCAGATGTATCTATAATTATGGTAATAGGTACAGTCACCTATAACTTTTGAGTTATTACGTTGACCAGAGGCACAGCTTTTGCTTCTATGGTTGTCCTTCGGATGCAGTCATGAACGAACCCCCCCTACCTTGGTTCATTTGATTGACACGTGTATATCATCATTAATGCTATTATGAAGATAATGAATACCTTAAACAAAGGGTTTTGTAATCATCATTTAACAGAAAACAGATACAAATCATCCAAATGTCCATAGTTCATAATATATTTAAATAGAGGCAAATCATATGCCTGTTAAATTTACCAAAGTGTTCTTATGTTTAGCATTATCAGTATAACATTTTATAGATCATGGCTTCCCTCATCTTCCTTACTAGCAAGTAACCCTACAAACATTTAGCCGAGTAATTCTTCAGTAAAAAGAATGGTTAAACTATACTGTATCTAAAGCTAGAATTTATTTTAATTTAAATAGTATTAGGTAATGCCTAAAACACCAGTAATTTTTTTCCCACTTGGGAGATTTCCCTTCACTTCCTTTTCTTTAGACATAACAGAAAGTATGATAAAAAAACTTCAAAGTGAGGTAAATACCCCCTTAGAACGTTTTTTTTTGCTATGACAATTTTCCCTATTGGGAGATTTCCCCTCTATTGATGTCCAAATTTTTGGATCTTCACTTACTAACAATCCTTGTGACTGTGGTCACCAAAACACATATGCAGGCAGGTAGAGTTCCGCATAAGTGTTGCTCCTCTTGTTAGTGAAGTTTAGTGCCCTTTATAAGGTGGGAAGAGCTGGAAGTTAGAGGGCTGGGCTCGGTGGACTTCTGAGGAGAGGTTTTGAAGAACTCCTGTGAGCTCTCTTCTGGGAGAGGACTGGCTGATATACTAAATGCCTATGTCAGGTGCAAATCTATAGTTAACTGTATCCTGAGTCCGAGTACTGCACTGTTCTTACAAAACTATCTGAATAATACTGACATAATTGAAGGTACCCTTTGATAGCCATGATTTGTAATATCTAAAACTAGTATATGGCCTATTTTGTTATGACTATCAACTCAAGTAATGATGTTTTATTGCAACCAAGCGTCTCTGTGTGATGTGCTAACAGAGTAAGGTGATGAGTACAGCCAATGTCTGGGATAAAGAGAGTTCTGGTGCTTTACTCATTCAAGCCTGATCAATTCCGGAGTGGGTAGTGATGGAGGAAAAGGAGTTCCCCACCTGCTGGTGAGATTAAGAACTCTCATGTAACATGCATTAAGTGGCCTGGGCCTTCATGTTTTATGGGCCTGGGTGAACAGGTGGGCTTCTAAAGCTTCTGTCTGGACTACTTGTCAAACACAGGTCTATGTGTGCATACGTTATGGGTTACATATGATAGTGACCAGGAGGATAAGGAGAAGATGTCTAGGACCAACAACCCATGCACTTGACCATATTTGGTTTGGGCAGATCAACACGTGACACCTGCAACCTTGTATGTACAGTGCTCAGCATAAATGAGTACACCCCAACAGATTTGTCAGAAAACCTTTAATTTCCTTTCAGAATCAAAATTTTCTATAGGACACTATACTACAAAATACTCCCACAAATGCGGGCCATAGATTACAAACAAGATTTGGTAATTTGCACATACAAAAAAGTATTTTTCCTAACAAATTAATTCAAGACCATGTTGCAAAAATGAATACATCCCAATGAAATTCTTAGACTTTTGTTGTCAAAAATTTAGATTCGCTCCTAACCAACAAGAATTCAACTACAGGTGAGTTCAATTATTCATTAAACAGGTATCCAGCAGACAGTTGATTATAAAAGGGCATTACTTAACAAAGAAAACCGCTTCCCATTTCATGCTGTCAACAATGGCACCACATGGAAGAGAAATGTCACAAGGCCTGAGAAAGAAAATAATTTCTTTACACAAGAAAGGTGAAGGCTACAAGAAGATCAGCAAAGCTTTACTTTTCAGTCAGAATACTGTAGCAAAAGTGATACAAAAATGTAACAAAGATGGAACTGCAACCATCTAACAGAGATGTCCAGGCCATCCAAGGAAGTTAACACCTCGACAGGAGCGTCTTCTAATGAAAAGAGTTGAAGAAAATTACTATGCAAGTTCACTGCAGTTAGCTAAAGAAGTAGAAAGCCAAACTGGGGTGATTGTTTCCCGTGACACAATACGGTGTACACTGCAGAGAAATGGCATACATGGGTGTAGTTTATGAAGGAAGCCTGTCCTAAAGCACATGCACAAAAAAGCCCACCTAGAATTGCCAGGGCCTATGCTGAAAAAGAAGACGACTGCTGGGACTCTATTCTGGAGTGATGAGACCAAGATAAATATTTTTGGAACTGATGGTTTCAAAACTGTATGTCGTCTCAAAGGTCAGGAGTACAAAGAAAAATGCATGGTGCCTAAAATGAAACATGATGGTGTCAGTGTCCTTCTGTGGGGCTGCATGAGTGCTGCTGGTGTTGGGGAGCTGCATTTCATTGATGGTATCATGAATTCACAGATGTACTGCTCTATATTACAAGAGAAGATGCTACCATTACTCCATGCCCCTGGTCGTTGTGCACTTTTTCAACATGACAATGATCCAAGACACATCTCTAATGCCACTGTTGCATTTCTGAAGAAGAACAAGGTGAAAGTTATTCAGTGGCCAAGTTTGTCTTTTGATCTGAACCCAATCGAACACCTATGGGGAATTCTGAAGAGACAAGTTGAGCATCACTCTCCATCCAGCATCCAGGCTCTAAAAGAGGTTGTTCTTGAAGAATGGAAAAAGATAAATGTTGCAATATTTCACCAACTCGTTCATTCCATGCCTAGAAGACTTGGTGCTGTCCTTACATATCATGGAGGTCATGCAACATACTAGATGGAGTAGTTTTTGTTGTGGGGTATATTATTTTTGCATCAACTAATTTGAGTAAAAGTGAAGATTTTGTAATCTAAGTTATATTAACCTTACTTTCATGTAATGAGTTAACAAATGTTCTATAAAACTCAGTTTTGCCAAAATTCTGGAAATTGTTCTTGTGTTCATTAGGATATTGATGAAAATTACTTTTCAAGAGGGGTGTACTCATTTATGAGCACTGTATAGTAAGAGCCCAGCTGCATGTATCGGCCACTTGGTAATAAGCTGTGATTTGGTCAGTGTTAGCTGGCAGTGTTTGACTCTCAGGTGTCTTTAGAAAAATAAAAGACCAAATTTTAGATCCATATTCTAAAATTCCAATTCATCAATATTCTAAAAAGTTCTTGATTGTACGTTGTTCCCAAACTATTAAACATATATCTTCTATTAATAATGGCTTATCTTGATAAATTGTTTGAAAGCCATTTTGACATTTTTATTTCGAAAGCTATAAACTATGGGGTTAAGCATGGGGATAGCATACACATAGAGCGCAGTTAGCACTTTGCCCTGTCTCAGTGAAACTGCTGAAGATGGTCTCATGTACAGTACAAACACAATAATATAGAAAAAGCTCACAGTGGTTAGGTGAGAAGCACAAGTAGAGAATGTCTTGTATTTTCCCTTTGATGTCTGGATCATCATTATTGTCCATACAATATTAATATAAGATATAAGAGTGAGAAAAAAATGATGTCATTACCAGCAACACTCCTTGAATAAGTATAACAGTTTGTATAATTGTTGTATTGCTGCATGCCAGGTTTATAAGGGCAGTGATGTCACAAAAGAAGTGGTTGATCACATTGGAGTTACAATAATCCAATGTGCTTGTAACAGTTGTGATTGGGATTGAAGCCACTAACCCACCCAGCCAGGAACCCAAAGCTCCATACAAACATGCCTGCTTGCTCATCATTAGGGTGTAATGTAAAGGTTTACATATGGCCACATAGCGATCAAAAGACATCACAGTCAATAGGAAATATTCAGTACTTCCAAAAGCAATGAAGAAGTAAAGCTGAACCATACATCCTACAAAAGAAATTTGCCCTCCCTGGGTAATGGAGATACCAATCAGATGTGGGCAAGTAGTGGATGTATATAGGACATCAAGGGACGAGAGGTTACACAGGAGAAGTACATGGGGCTACTAAGTGAGGGGCTCCAACTTATTAAGATGGTAAGAATTGAGTTTCCAGCAAGTGTGGAAATATAAACACAGAGAAAACACAATAGCAGGGGAGTTTTTAGGTTTGGGAAGTCAGAAAACCCAATAATTAAAAAATCCATTATTCTGCTGTAGTTTCTATAATCCATTTTATGCAGAGGAGTCATAATGTTCTAGATTTCCATTGATAGAGAAATGCACAAAACATTAGTTACTGTCAGAAATGAGTTTATACAATGAGGCAAATAGCAAAATTTAAAGAGACTCAGTCACTTTGCCCATTCAGGGAAGAGTGACAGTATATGCTTGTTGGTAGGTGCAGCGAGGTGCAGAAAATACACTGAGTTCAGTAAAAATTAACAAAACGTGTATTGAAGGAACAGCCAAAGGTACAAACATCCCAGCAGGAAGTCACCCAGCTGGGAACAATCACAGGTGTGTGCAAACTTGTATATTGGAACAGTTTTTTTTGATGCACCAACAGCATCTGTCTCCAAGGGCGGAATGCAGCCTGGCCAGTGCAAGCCCAATGGGGAAGATTCTAATGCAGGATGGTATGTGCCTAGCCTGTCTAGCACCTTTCCTTACCGCTATTCACTCTCCCTGAAGGACAGGTGAACTGCCCCTACACTATCCACCTACAAGAAAACACACCAAAGCCTGTTCGCTGGCACTTAAAAAGGCTCTGCTGACCAAAGATGGCCACCAGGGTCACCTGAATGCAGTGTAGCCAGATGAAATGCTTCCTAGGGTACAAAGGAAACTAGAGAGAAACCAGATTTCTCTTGACTTACCTTCCAGGTGCAGTAGTGCTCCAACCATGACACCTACAGTAGAGAACAGACACGGCACCTGCCTACATGCTGATGGTTCTTCCTGCCCTAGCAAAGTATACTCACTGATCCAGGATCCCTGCTGAAAGAGTTCATCCTCAGTGCACTCTACTGTTGGATTGTGTATGAGATTACCCCTGTAAATGTCATTAAAAAACCCCCTGAGTGACAGTATTTGGGCTTGTTGATTGGCTGTTCAAGCCCAAGCATGGGCAGTTACAGTGTCCCTTCAAAAATCAACTCTACCAAATGGTATTTTTTTTTAGCTTTGGGGGGGAATTAGGAAAGGTTAGAACCATTATTAAATATCTATTATTGTCAGTGCTCTGTTGGGGAGATTTCCTTTTAATGTCTGTCCACACAAGAAGATATAAAAAATCTACCCAAACGGGGATGCTCTATCCAAACCTTCCCTTACTCTGTAAAAAAAAAAAAAAAACTTTGTCATTACTTTTTGAGTCTTAAAGGAAACCAGTAATGCGGAAACAAATAGACTACTCTTTTTGACATCTTGAAAAAAAAAAAAAGCTTGTTGCCATTGCTTGAGCTTCATGCAAATAGAATACAAGTATGCAAAAGGATAACATTTTGCCTTGACTTCAAAAGCTACTTATGTTTTGTTAGTGACTCAGACAGGTTGATTTACTAAAGGCAAATAAGCTTTTCACTTTGTAAGAGAATCTTTACTCTGCAAGGACACTTGTGCTTAGCTAGGTAAAGGTGAAGTGCTGCTGACTTCAGTCATCCATTCGTATGCAAGCAAAAATATTTTTTTCTTACATTTTTCCTGCATGTGATTTAGTATTCTTTGAAAAGTTAATTTTTACCAGATTCACTAGGATATTTGAAAAATCCAAAGTGCAAATTCTATTCCAAAGTAAAAACCGTATTTGCCTTTAGTAAACCATCACAAATTATTGATGTAAGAAACAATTGTCAATTGCCAAACAATTATCATTTTTAGAAAGAGGCTAACAATAGCAAACTACATATTTCTCCCTTTACAAATGTGCTTTAAGGTCTCTTGCACACATATATCAATCAGCTTACAAGTCTTCAAGTGAAATCATCTAGACAGCCACAAATGCTGTATACAGCTGCCAATACAAGTGAATGGCTGTGTATAGTGTATTTCCACAAATGCACTACTTTTGCATTTTGGTAAATACGCTGTACATGTATGCAAAGTCTTAAATGTTTTGGCTAAAGATATACTAAATTCCAAAAAAAAAAAAAAATGGCTAAAGTCTAAAAACCTAAACGTGTTGGTCAAGGATATACCGTATATAATATGTAGTAGCCCACAAAATGTGATGTTTTTTTGTTTTTTTAATCACAGAAAATGTTTCCAGCTATATAAAAATCAGGAAAATAAATCTGTTCATAACAAACCTTTCACATAAAACAGCAAAGCTAACTACACAGCTAAAAGTCATATGATTGTTGTTGTACCTGCCAAAGGATTTTCCTTTCTGTCCATCCAGTCCAGGGATTTCCACAGTCTTGGCAGCCAGCAAAGCCAGCCTGAAAATTTGCTATTTCTCTACTGCGGTTAGGAAAGACATCTAGGTAACCTGCTTGCCCCCAGCCTGCGATAGGATAGTGAAGGAACAACAGAAGGTTAATGAGCTGAGTATAAATTTAATTTATGATAAATTAAAGTATAACTAAAAGAAAATCTTTTTTAGTATAGGAGATAGCCGAGAGGGAGCCTCTGTCAGGATTGTATTGCTGTCTGGGACCCCATTAGGGAGATTCACTACTTCTATTTCTCCTGTTTACCATTACAGAGAGTAAAAGTGTTAAAAAAACACTTGTCACAGGGAAAAAGGGGGAAATCTTCTATTAGGTACATTGGTGATTCCAGTGATGACCGGGGATTCCCTTTGCTTTGGTGTGATTTCCTCTTACGTCCTGTTTTGGCTATGGGACAGGAAGTGAAGGGAAATTTCCCCACAGACGGCAAAAAAAAAATAAAACACTGACAGAAGTTATAACCCTCCCCTACTCTATTTAAAGTGAAAAAAAAAATGTTTTGCCTTACCTTCTAAGTTGTAATTTAATATTTTCTGGCACCAATTTTTGTGAGCTCCTAATTATATAACTGTATGTTCATGTTTTAATGTCCAAATGTTTTGTATATTTTTGATGCTGTAGAATGAAAATGATGGTTTCTTTTTTGCATGCATTTGTATTATATCATACTTTAATTAGCCATTATTTACTACCGAAGCAACGTATAAAGAAACAAATTATTATTTTGCTAAAACCTTTTCTCAGATGTTCTCTACATCAGCTTTACAGTATAACCAAGTTCAGTTGTGTTTTACTGCCATTTGTTGAAAATCTGTGTCAATCTGCTTATCAAAAGCATTTTCTGTCGCACCTGTGACACATGATATTTTCAGCTACATCTATAGTCGATAGAAAGAAAACAGAATTCTGCAAGCAGGTAGAATGCTGATAAATGTAATAATAGGAAACATCGGTCTGCCGAGTGTTTGTTCAACATCCTTTTCCTGGCAGTATGAAATGTTGATGTGATCTACTGCTCTCAGTGCTGGAGGATTATATAAGAACAAAATTCTCACAGGGTTTAGTCCATGAGGGAATTTACTGAAAAGACTTACATTTTGTCAAAATATTACAGGTAAAAATAATGTCAGTTACTAGCTTCTATATTGAAGGGATTTGATCTCTAGGAATGAGAAAACTATTGCTGATAATTGTAACTGCCAGCGTCCGGGAAATAAAAAAGACACATTAAGGCTACTTTCACACTGATCCACCACAAAAATACATAGGTGTTTTTACCCCGCTTTTGCCGTGCTTTCTGAGCTTTTTTTTTTTTTGTAAGGACTTAAAAACTGCACCAAAAACGCTTCTCAAAGTCATTTTTCAGGTGTTTTCCATTGATTTCAATGGGAAGAGGCATTTTGGGGAGTTTTTTTAAACTCACCAAACATACCCCAAAGATGCTGCAAGCAGGCGTTTTTACACCGCATTGCAAGCGTAACGCCTCAGTGTGGAAACATACATAGATATTTTCAGGTGCTTTTTTTAATGCAAAAATGCTTCAAAATTTCCTCAGTGTGAAAGTAGCCTAGGTGTCAGTTCACGCAGTGGCATATTTAGGTTTTGTGCTGCCCTAGGCAATACTAAATTGCCCCGGAGAGAGCCTGACATTGACCAACAACACCCCCCCCCCCTCCCCACTTGAGAGAGCTTTCCACTACCATCGCCTCCATACACCAGCCACTCCCCTCCCAGCGAGAGAAAAAGACTCACCTTCTCAGCTCTGGACATCCCCGGGAAAGAGTGTCAAGCAGCCCGCAGCCTTTCTCAGATCCCACCTGGTCCCCAAGCCATATGTGTCCCCTCTTCCATGGGGGCAGTGCCAGTACCGGGCACACTGGCTGATGTGAGAGAGCTCTGTACAGCCCACCACCTACAGAATATCCATTCAGATGAGAGGTGTGAGGTGCCAGTGATGTTCCAGGAGCGAATCCTTACCTTGGAATTGACGCTTTCATGACGATCCAGCTGACTTCATGAGATATATATTATTTTATGCACTGCACTATTGCGCATCTGGTGAGTGCATATTTTTATCATTTGTTTCACACCAGAAGAATTCTGAATGACCACCTGGATTATGAGCCTCACGTCTATTCTTTAATGGAAGGACTTTTTCACTTTCATGCACCTGTGACCACTTTGTCATGAGTTATATGTATACAGTATCTATGTGCACTTTGTCACTTTGTTTGACACTATGTTGGCACTTATATGTCATTATTCTGTGAGAATTTAGCTCTGTACCATCAAAGCCTTGTCTCCTCATGCTAATGTGACAGAACTGGGCCAATCACCAAGCACCAGCGCTGGAAAATAATGGGTCCATGCTCCTCCATGCCTGCAATTTCTGTTTTTTTTTTCAGCTGCTGAATACTGTAGGGGTGCAAACAAGTATACATTGCTGGGTGACTGGGCAATAAAACAGACTTTAGCTGTAGTTTTACTTTTAATATCCCTGTGGGAGCAAAAGGTTA